ATGGAAAAAGAGCATGGAAACTACTGTATCGTGTATTGGGGTGATATAGGGATTATGGAAAAAGAGCATGGAAACTACCATTGAATGACCGGCTGAGGCATCTGGGCCGCTGCAACATGTACGCACGAGCTGGATTAATAGCGCTGCAGGCAGTGCTGCCAAGCGCGCAATGGCTGCTTGACAGACCCTGATCCTGGCTGTTGCATGTAATGAAGGAGGGAATAACTTAGGAGGACCCCCCCCACCCTGTAATAGTGGTATAATAGCAATATAAGAGGACCCTAATATCATCCTATCCCTTATAGTCACTATTACTGGGTGGGGGGTCCACCTAAGGAATAACACATGGAACTTCTTATCTTAATGGACATCTTGTAGAGGAGATCCATTCCTCCATTCCCTACTAACAACCGTCAAGTGATGCGTTCTACTAGGTGGTGCTTGGGAATTTTGAGGGGCGGTATACCTTAAGCGGGCCATAGAGTAGGTGAATATCGAATCGCTTGGGTTCCTGGTGATGAGAAAGAGTAGGAAACAGCTGAATTTAGCCAGGGCTGTCAGGAGCCGAGACCAACAGTGTACGGCAGGGTTGCATGGCAGAACTGACTGCAAGCATTTGAGCATCAGCGCTCGAGCATATCCAGTCTGCAGCGTGCTCAGCTTGCATGGTGTGAAGATTTGTGGGGCAGGTTCAACTCATCGAGGGGCCCTAGAGCTCTCACAGTCCGGTACAACCTTTTTGGAGCAGGGGCTCGGAACTTCCTCCTACAACCATGAACCCCCAAGACCCCAAAACCCTAAACCCAACACCCTACCCCAAACCTTGAACCCTAAACCCTAAACCCTAATGCAACACTGAGCCCCTGAGCGCCTTAGCCCCGAACCTTTGCCGCATGTCAAGGCTAGCGCCCGAAGGCATCGGCTGGCAGAAGATGGACGGGGTACCGCCTTGGAAGCCCCACACGGGCAGCACCGGCCTTGGCCCTTTATTGTTATTATTATTCTTACTCTTGGTGTTATTAGTACTATTCTTATCAATATTGATCTTCGTAATATTTTATTTTAGGTATTACTATTATTGTTGTAAATCGGCTTTTTGAAGAGAGTTTCAGGTACATATAGAGGGTCGTCAGCCCCTCCCACTAGTCATGGAGAATCCGATGGAAAAAAAAACAGCAACTGAAGTGGGAGCTGGAGATATCTAGGGGTTCTTAGCAGGGCAAGGGTCCAAGTACCCAAGTAATGGGTTTTCAGTTCCCAAATACAACAGCCTGAATGACTTTTTTGCTAAGGCTTGAATATTTGGGTACTTGGACCTATGTGATAGGGGTATACGGGATTATGTAGGGTTTTTGGGTACCTAAAACATATTCGGGTAGTCGAGGGATTTTGGGGATTCTACTTCGCTTCTTATGGGATGATGTAGTTGTTACATGAATTACATAGTGATTGTGTAGGGATCATTTGTGAAAGGCTAGATCACGCTTGAGTGGTTTTTGCCTGTTGTGTTGCCTGGAACATCTCATGCCGGCCTTGCAGTACTGGTCCTGTGCTTCTTGTAGAGTCGCTTCTAACCGAGCTTGTGTGGTCCTAAAATAATAGATGGTTTCCTCCATAACAAAGCCCCTTTCACCCTGGAAACTGAGGAGGCTTCTACAAACGACCAAGGCGATAACACCATGTACTTTGCAACCCCTAGGGATCCAAACAGCCCAATGTAAGTAATATTTGCAGACTTTAGGGCCCAATGTAGGCATTATTTGTACACATGGATCCCTAGGGAAAGGTAAAGCTGAGCCCACGGCAATGTGGAAATGTCTATCAAAAGGCGTGCTTCAGAGAATTCCACACTTCTAGTAACCGAGCTGCCTAAAGTTCGACCTTGCAAATTAGCCTAATGTAGACCCATAACAGGGTAATATAGGGATAAGGGAAAACATAATGGAAAGTACCATAACCGGGGTATAATATGATAGTCTTTGTACGTATTGTAAAAAATTCTAAGAACCTAGGCATCGCCGCGCCGCTGTCGGACGGAAGCATGCTGCTGCCGCTTGGCAACCCTGGGTTTTATGGGTGTTCAAGACCTGCGTTTTCGTACAGTCAAAGGCCCGGATATGGTTTCTGGCTTTGAAGCCACTACAACCCTTGATGAGACAAACTTGTTGTTTTGTTTGTTCATTTTGTGCTTGGTGATTATCATTGTTACTGGTATATTACTACACGGTTTATTTCTATTTTACAAAGGCTTCCATCTGTTTTCAAGTTTTCAAGCCACTGCAGGCGTTGCTCTTGACCAAGGGGCTAGGGCCAGGGCCAAACATGGAGAGTTTTCTGTAAGTTCTCCACAATACTTGTGTATATTGGAGTTTCCAAATATTAGGGATACCTGTTTGGTGTATATTCGGTTCCCCTTGCAGATATGCCCAATACTTACAGGTATCGTTATAGGGGTGGGTACCTAATCTAAAGGTAATGAAGGGTTTATATAGGGATAGTGGTAAAGAAAATGGAAGCTACAAATTAGGGTTCAGGGTTCGTTCAGGGTATGCCCCTTGGTTGCTGGATGCTAGCTGTGCTACTTCTCAAGAAGCATGTAGGACTTGACGGCACACCGCCTTTACATTTGGGGGCTCCAAGTGGAAGCTCTGCTCACCCCTTCTCGACTTGAATCATTTCCGCAGCTTCCATCAAGCGGTCGACTTGGACAAGCCCTCTGTTTGCATGAGGCATCGGGTTGCACAAGCTTGCCTTTGACTGCCAAGGATTGGTGGCCAAGCAGGAAGGCGCCTTCCTGTTGCCCCCCAAAACGGGTACGTAGCAAAACCCTAAACACTAAACCTAAACAGTAGTTTCCATTTTATTTTCCATTATCCCAACATAACCCCTATATAACCCCCATATAACCCCATTATCGTTGCGCTGGAGATCTGTCTGCCCCTCCGAGGAGCACCACAGTGGCCTCAACAGTACAGCAGTGTCAGTCCTGTACCAACAATTCTTCTGCCCGTGTGGCTGTAGGCCGTAACCATATGAGTATATAACCCAAAAGATCTGATGTCTGGTTGTTGGACAGGCATGGCGGTGGCTTCTTTGACTGCTTCAACTGCACCAGCGACGTATGGCAGTTCAAGCCGCTCAGGCGAACACCCAGTCCCTAGCACCTCTTCACGGGACTCTGGACTTCACTGAATTGTGTACAAGTCTGTGGTGATATGTGCTATGGTCTTATCTCCTTAAAGGGGGTTATATAGGGGACTATATAGGGGACTACTGTAGGGGTTCTTAAGGGGGATACTAGGAGTGAAGACTGGAGCTCATATGAACCTGCTGAAGCAGATCTCGGTATTCCATCAGCGGACCTCATACTGTGTAGGTAACGGTTGTGCTAGGGCTACATAGAAACGAATCAACTTTCCTTGATATCCAGCGCTTCCCCTGGAGTTACTGCTCTTGCTATTCACTATTTCTTTTCAGGCAAAGGTTTATTTAGCCTTCAGATTTGCGTGACAGGCGACAGTTTTGGCTGCGTGAGCGGGAAGTGACAGAGTTTGCTTGCTCAGTCTTGGAGGTTTTGCCGGCATTACTGCAAATTGTTGATCCCTTTGTGGGGTCCCCCCCTTTCATTCCAATTCTGTCGCTCCGCACGCTTTGCGCCTAAGGCCAGAAAAAGCTGAGTGGATCGATCACTCCAAGGAAGGGACCACAGGGCCTTGCGTGGTTTGCTGGAGTCTAGGGTATAGCCTACATAAGGCCGATGTTGCAGGGGCCCTGTCGTTAAGGTTAGCTCACCTGCGCTCAAGGAAGCTAGACAAGCACGACCGACGAAGGTTTCCACAACCAGCCCCCAAACTCCATCTCAGACAGTGGAATGCCACATGACTGGACAAGGGGGGTGCTGCGCCGGGTTTTCGGCCCTGGAACTTGGACTGTCTCTAGTTAGATTCTACACCCAAATCTAGACGCCAGGCCAGGCCGTAGTCCCTATATGCCCTTGTCTGCAGTGCGGAGGACGTGCCGTGGGACCCGCGATGGGGCCACTCTGTCATCACTCAGGCGGGGCATCCGAAGCCCTGCCAATTGCCGGTTTTTCAGTTCCGACATGCTTCAGCGGGCAGCGGAAAGCAGAAGGTAGCAACTCGAAAGCTGTTCCACTGGGTCGCAACAATGCTGGCAAGTGACAGATCACCTGCACTTCAGCACGCGTCCGCGCTGGAATGGAATTCTGTCTGTGGACTCCCGTATGTTGAGACAATTTCAAGTTGAAATTCCTGCATGTTGCAAGAAGGTCAGCCATACCCTAAATATGTCTGACCACTGAAGCCGCGCTGATCACATGAAGGCGGATGACACAGTTTGGCTGTTCTTCGGTTGTTGCGAAAAAGGCCGGTGGTTTAAAGCTGGCAGGACTTCGATTTCATTTGAGGTTAGTCGGCAGGAAGATGCAGAGTTCAGGATGGCTGTGTTGTATCAGTGTTGTATAGGAATGGTGCCCATTTAGCATGGACCCTTGCTACGTAGATCCGAACTATGTCAGCTCCATGATGACATCCGCATCAGGAAAAATCAAGTTTTGGATTGTCAGGTGCGATAAAGTTCGATAAAGGAAAGAGATATCAAGTATATCAAGTCAAAAGGGTGTTAACATCCGATCCTACCGAGGCTGAATCAGTGTTGGAATCTTGGTAAGATGTCTTTCTCTTGCAGTCATGTGGATCACCCATCGTCTTGCCACTCTCCTTCTGAGCCGCTTTGAGCTCCATGCAGCTGATTGCTGTTTAGTCTAAGCAGCTTGAGTAGTTTTCGTGAGATGGAGTTGCGCGGATCCTCGTGGTGAGACCCTCCCATCTTCATGACATTCGCGCTTCAGTTGATGACCCGGGCTGTGCTGCTGTCATTGACAGCGCGCCTTCTTCCGCACCTTTGAACAGCTCCACGGGCTGTCAGATGTAGCTAGAAGCTCTCTAACCACAGCCCTGAAAAGGGAGGGAATCCTGTGCCCTGCAGGGAAGCCAACGGTGATGCTTCGCGACGTGTGGACATTTAATCCAATGCGGCTGCCTCAGCTGTTTGGTGCGGGCTGGCAATTGTTTGGGCGTGTACACACACAAACACAAACACACACACACACACACACACACTCTCACTCTCACTCTCACTCTCACTCTCACTCTCTCTACACATATATATATATATGTTTATACATGAGGCTAGGAGTCTGGGATTCCAGGGTTCTAGAATTTCTGAATCCAATCTGTTGGGCCTGGGAGCTCAGCCATAATGTGTCAGTACATATGATATTGACCGAGGGTCGAGGAAGAGCAGGGATTCGGAGATTCTAGGTGTTCAGACCTCTCCGCCGCCTGCAGAGGAGAATCCATACACGTAGTTTGTCACGCAGGCTTGAGCATGGTTGCCACACCCCGCGCGCAGATTCTTGAGTGTTAATTGAGTGTTTAATGTGTTTGTTCGCATGTTCTGTGGCAAAGGCTCCTCGTGGCTTAGACGGTTACAGCCTTTGAGAAGAATGCCGCTGACTTCTATTCGTTCACTGCGAACTACTACGACAGAATTAAAGACCGCCATTCCAACGCCAAACATGGGCAGTTTGCCTGCGCGGCCATGCAGGGCTCTTCAAGGTTTTGTCTTTTTGGTACTTGCTGGCGTACAGCGGGATGTCCCAGCCCCAGCTCAACAAGACTTCTCGAGATCCTATGAGATATGGGGGCTTCCCTAATAAGGATCATAGCATTTTGGGGTCTATATTGGCTTTCCCCTATTTTGGGAACCTACCATATCTGACGGTCCACATGACACTTTAAGCATGTCTCATTGTGTTTTGAACCTTTCAAAGCCTCCTGAATTTTCAGAGGCAAACAGAATTCGAAGCCCGAAATTCCGCCATCGTTCAGGAAGGGCATTGGCTGGAAGCAAGCCGACGCCAAGACTCCCTTTGAGGGCATCCAAGCAACATCCGCTGCGCTCACAGGCGCTGGAAGTTATAGTCATTAGGGTTGAGGGTTTAGGTTTAGGGTTTAGGTTTAGGGTTTAGGGTTTAGGGTTTAGGGGCTTGGGGTTATAATGGGGTATATATTGGGACAATGGAAAAGAAAATGGAAACTACTATAGTCGATTGGGGTTATAATGGGGTATATATTGGGATAATGGAAAAGAAAGCTTTTGAGCAAAGGGCGCAGAATTTCATAGAACGCTGTGACAAGGATTTGGTTGGCCCCCTTTTTGTTGGCATTTTCTTTCTGAAGGCACTGCTTGGGGCCCCCGATTGCTGGAAGCTACTTTGTACTGGGATGCTTGACGTCTCGGGAATCCTGCAGTCCTACTATAGAGAGGTACCAGGCAATCACATGCATTTGTTCCATCCGAGGGCGTTAGAGTCGACTCCAGATCTCAAAGCCAAAGTGAACTGACCTCAAATCAGGCATTCAACATGTTTAACGGAGGGCTCTCGGAAAAAAATACCACTACTCTTCCTCGGCGAGTGTCTGTAGGCGCATCTAGGCGCCTGAAACAAAGGCAGCACCTGGCGGTTCGCTTCTACCAGGGATTGTGGTTCTATCATTGATAGAGCTGTGTTGACTACTGGCATGCTTGGATTCAAATCGCAGACCCTCAGCCATGGAACACGTGAGGCAACCCGAAGATCAAAAATCCTAACCCCACCTTGCTGACAAGCTGTATACAATCCCTAGCGAACCGTCAAAAATGCATGCATAACATAGCCCTAACAAGCCCTGAACCTCAAACTTCTAAACCATGTGGGAAAAGCCTTGCAGAGGCTCCGACGTGTGGTTCGTGGGCGGATGGTCGCAGCAGCGCGGCACGCTGTCGCAGGTGCCAGCTTAGCTCTCATGGCTCTAAACAGAATGTAGAGCCATTGCAACTGCAAGTTCTGACAATCGTTTCTGTACTAACTCCTTGGATTTGAAATTTCCGGCGATTAAGATTGTGTAGTCGTGAGGAAGGTTTTCTTTTCTTCCTCAGGCGTGTCGGGGTAAGGATTGAGAGTAGGGCTGTAAGGGGGCGGGGGAGTGTACAGGCTCAAAAGTAGGAGCCTCGTGCGCGTGGGGCTACACTGCTCAGCATAATTAAGTTCCTATATGTCAGCAGATTTTTTCGCATGGCATCTTGTGAGGCGTTGAACTCCGATTGCGTTTTACATATTGGACTGTTTTCGGGGGAATGAGCACTTCGGCTTCAAACCTGGAATTCAACTTATAAATTTGAATGTTACGACAATGGGCAACCTCCAAAAGCCGGCAACTATACCGCCTGAGTTGGCATGAACGCCAAGAGGAAGATCGGCAGCGTCACCGCTCGGGACCCCTTCACAAGCCCGCGAACATTCCTACCCTTGACAGCTTTCTATGTGATTACACGTAAGCCTGCTCCACTCTTTCATTCCACCAGATTGACATATTTGTACCAGTATGCCGAGAGTAGCTCAGCTGCGTGCTTCCAAGTCATTGCGATCACGCCGCTGCGTGTGTCAACTTACATGGAGGTGGCGGTCTTCAATCTGGACACGCAACTCAGCTGAATGTGGAGCATTGCGGATTGTGGCGGTCCGTTGTGTTGGTAATAATCTAGCACGTGATATGCACTACAAGTTCAGTTTGAGAACACGGGGCATGGTGCAGATGCCTCGGTCTCAAGGGGAACTAAACTCACCAAGCCTATCCTAAGCCTGATGAATGTAACCCGAACCCCTTCTGCACAGAGCCCAAAGCCCTCAAGCCAAACCGCCATCATGGCCACCGGCCTGAGGCTGAAGTGGACTTTGAAGAGCCCGCATGGTGCTGCGCCGTGGGATTCACGGGCGCGGGGCCACAGGGGCATGCAGTGACCTATAGTGGGTAAGGCAGTGAGTATTGGTTGGCTTTCCGGCATTGAGAATAATCGCCACCCACGCTACTCAGCATTTCCGAAACAAGTTCTGCATCTTTCTCACGTTCCAATACAGGTGGCATTTGTTAAGTTCTGGTGCTCTTTTGAGAGAAGGCAGACTCAGCTACGATAGGGTCACGGCTGGACATCGAGTTGGAAGTTCCTTACTGGAGCCCTCAGGATTAAAAGGGGATATTGTTGGCTAATTAGGCAAGACTGAGAACCAGTTCCAGGAAGCCAGTCTTCCCAAGGATTCTGAAGGACTGAAAGAGCCGAGCAAGTCATGACAGCATAGTTGCTAGGGTTTTGGTCTCAGTGTATGGCTCCATGCAGACATAGAAGACTGGCCTGTATGAACGCACAAGAGTCTGAAAGAGGATGCCTTGGCATGGACAGTATGGAGGCAGAAGAAACATCGATACTCGTAGTGGCCTCCTGCAATGATCAGAACATCACGCTCATGATGTAATTGTGTTTGAACTCTGAGCTGTTTAGCCGCAGGCCGATCATGCAACTGCCATATCTCCAGATGGTCAGTGGCTGGAACCTTGTCCAGATTTTGGGCATAAGGTTTAGGGTTTAGGATATGAGCAACAGGCAATAGACTTC